TTGAAACAGACCTGAACGAATATTATATATATACGAGGGTCATTCAATAAATAAGGTGAATTTTTCGCTATAACGACTTCTAATACAGATAGAAGCTTACTTTTTTAAAATTTTTCAACGTACTCTCCCAGCACTGTCACACACTTTTCCCATCTGTGCACAAGCTTCCGTATTTCCTCAGCGTAAAAATCTTTGGACTGATGTCTCAGCCAGTCGCTCACAACACTTTTGACTTCATCATCACTTTTAAACTTCGTGCCTCTCGTGAACGCTTTCAAGGGACCAAACAGGTGAAAGTCTGAAGGGGCAAGGTCTGGGCTGTCAGGGGGATGAGGGAGCAGTTCCCATCCCAGCTCGTTGATGGTCTGCACCGTTTGGGCTGCTGTGTGAGTCCTTGCGTTGTCATGATGCAAGATGACTCCTTCTGACTGATGACCCCTGCGTTTGTTCTTTATGTCTTTCTTGACCTGCCTCAGCAGTTCACAGTAGTTCTTCTGAATGAGTTCATTGACTGATTCGATCACCTCAGGAGACCTCACTACTGTAGGCCTCCTAGGCCTGTCTTCATCCTTAACACTGCTCCATCCTTCTTTAAACAATTTAGCCCACTTGTAGGCATTTATTTTCGCCGACACATGTGGCACCATACACAGTTGACATTCTCCTATGAATTTCAAGTGGTTTGCACCCTTCAGCAACCAAAAACTTGATAACTGACCACTGTTCAATCCTGGAGCATGCTTCTTGGTCGGCCATCTTTGTTAATCGTCAAAACTCTGAAAGTTTTTTTTTAATCTGCAAAAGAAATTAAATCCATGTGAAAAAGAAGTAAAACAAAAAAATAAATAAAAAAAGTAAGCTTCTATCTGTATTAGAAGTCCTTATACCGAAAAATTCACCTTATTTGTTGAATGACACTTGTATATATATATATAGGCAGAGAGAGAAATATAGATAGACAGATAGTCTCTTTTTTTGTGGTAACAGACACATTAATTTGGAAATTATGTGTAAAAATCAAATAATTGTCGGATCTTAATGAAATTTCCAGTACTTATTCACAAATGAAACAAATTATTTTTAAAAAAGTTTTATTAGAAAATCTTGGTAAAAATATTTTTATATTTGTTTCACACCTTTAGTTAATTTTTATAAAATTTGAGAAATTTAATGTTTTAAGTTTTAGTGACTATATTAGTTAAAAGCAGAATTCTTTGAAGAATTTAAATCAGACCCCGTCTTATCGAAAATCTGTTCTGAATCGAAAAATTAAAAAAAAAACAATAAAACTAAAATATTATTTAATCAGAGAAGCTTTTAATCGCTTTTATCAATAATATCTATTAAAGACCATACTGTCTGAAGAAAAAATTATTCGATAAAAAATGAATTTTTACAAGATTTTACCGAAAAAATCGATTCCGTTCAATTTAATTTCTGTTTGAAATACACCACGGAGTATTTTACTTACTGGAAATAGTAAATTTCAAATCTTTTCGCTTTCAATTAAAGCTAAAATGAAAGCCTCAAGAAAACTTTTTCTTTTTTAAAAATTCATTTTAAACTTCATGCATTTCGAATCAATAGAACACCTACATTACAGGCTTTGTACTCTTAGCCTTCTTAAATAGTCATTTTTCGTCTTCGTTAACCTTATTGAAAATTCAAACTTAACTCTTTATTCAATCCACGGGCATAGTTTTTTCTCATTCCGTTTAATGGGCATTTTATATCAGTTAGTAGACATCAGTCTACTAACTGATATAAAATCAGTTAGTAGACTGATGTCCCAGGGATTGAACTTTCGGTCGAAGAATTATAGACGAGTAGATTAAAGCGTTATTTAAATCAAATGCCGTTCCTTGACAGCAGTGAATAAACCGGGCAAATATTAACTGAAACGAAATATTCAATATGAAAACAAAGTGAGAAAAATCTATACCCGTGGATTGAATAGGATTTTCGGTTGCAAATGTCAAGAAGGTTAGCAAGTACGACTTTACCAGAGAGTAAAGGCCGGGGAGTACAACGGCTGACCAAGATGACCATGCTGGTCCACATATAAAACATGAAAGGTTTCCTAACAAAATCAAGTTTCTGCATTATATTAACGACTAGCAGTAGAGACCGGCGTTGCCCGGGGATGTAACAGTAAAAGATAGATCAAGTATCGACCATCATAAAGACTGAAAAATAAAATTGACAAAGATTATTGTTTAAGGTTGACGGACACGCATGTCTTAATTAGTTTTTTTTTTTTTTTGAATTGGTCAAACCCCAAATCAAACAAAACATTGTTTTCAATCGTTATGAATCTACCGATTGAATAGAATTTTATTATAAACAATTGCCTTGTAAATGGAATTTTTAAAGCATTCTGAATGTAAAAATAAATAAAAACGTGTGCAAGACAATAAGAAACACTACCTGCCAAAAAAAAAAAATAAAGTGAAGTTTTGTTGAAATCGGTTGAAAAATGTAGGAAATCCGATCCCATATATAAACGAACACACACACACACACACACACACACAACCTGGGTTTTATAATAAGTATAACTCGATATGAGTTGTCCCCCTTTCATTCTCACGACAACGATGCCTCTTAATCGTGTTTTCAAATTGATTTCGTGCAAAAACAATTGTTTTTCCAATTTTTGGCGCTGTCAGAATCACCGCGTAGTCCTGTGAAGTTTTGTTGAAATCGGTTGAAAAATGTAGGAAATCCGATCCAATATATAAACGTACAGACAAACACACTCACACACAACCTGGGTTTTATAATAAGTATGATTTGCCTAGTAACACTCGGGAAGGCACGGTGATGTAATGGATAACGGCTCGGATTGAAGAATCCTTTACATTCACTTATTCACTTGGTATTAATCCTCTTCTTCTTCAGCTGTAAATAACAGGACAGGCCGGTTTCTGCCTCGTCAGTCATGTATCGAAAGATACCTAAGCATGTATCACGCATGGCACATAAATGACTGACTGGCTAGTAACACTCTTAGATGATTAGTAAATATCTATGCATGGGTGAATAGTGATTTGTAACTTTCCACACTTCAAAAAACAAGCTCATAAAGTTTCATCCTCACCGAGCAGACACGGAATGTTCTCAATTTCTGATGAACGGCTGCTTTCTTAATGAAACTTCTTTGAATGTCTTTTGGGACTCAAGTTCACACTTGACCTCAATCTGATCCGCCGCTAAAGATGCCGGGAAAAATGGAATACCGCATTATTTGACTCTTTCTGCTGTACAAATGAGACCAAAAATGGAGTATTGCTTCCATATCTGTGCTGCAGCTGCTCAGTCCTAACTTTCCAGTCCTGACACATTTCAAAATGTTTTGTTTTTTTCTGGTGGAAGACGCAAAGTTCTCAGCCTATCGTTACTCTATCCCTATCTCCATAGAATATGCTCAGATAAGCGCTTTGTTCTTTACTACCACCAATTTAGGTATTTACGCCATGCCACAACCCCGGGTCGAAACAGTTTCATTTCTTCCATATATTCTAATTGTAAGTAGGTAGTTCCACTCAGGCAGTTTTTCCCACTAATTTCTGTTTGGCTGCTTCCCTGAACACTATAACTTTAAATTCTTCAAGTCATCGGTCATTCTCTATCGTAATAATCCTCCAAATATTCACCTCCTATCACATCCTCTTATAAAGGGTGCGATGGATAAATTATTATCTAAATTACGCAAAAATGAAAAGGACACTGACGTCTCATTTTAACAGACACATTTACCAAAATTACACAAAAATATCTTGAAATATGAAAGAGTAAATTTATTCAATAAAATCTCCATTTTATTCAACCACAGCCTCCAGATGACTTCAGAATCTCCTGTTACTCTTCTGGACGGTCTCCTTATTTAAGTCGGTGAATGTTGCCATAATCCTTGCCTTCAGTTCATCTTTGGTGTTACAAGGAGTTTTTTTTTTATCTCTCGCTGAACTGTGCCCCACACATAATAATCAAAGGGGTTGCAGTCTGGGGAGTTAGGTGAGCAGATGTAAGGGGTGAGGTGGTTGCAGAAATTTTCTGACAACCATGGGTGGCATGGTACTGAATCCTGTTGCCGAACATAGGGCCATCCAGTATAGCCACTCTTGGCCCAGGGCAACTCTATCTCCTCAAGGCACGTGTTGTATGCCTCCGTGTTGAGCCTGAGGCCCTCCCCAACAAGTTCAGGAGTTTGTCTATATTTCTGAGATGAGGAATTGTAATTATTGACATTATTCCGACTGTTATCCTCATCTTTCTTGTTATATTCACGACAGTGCGGTCGTTGTATGCTCCGGCTATCTTCAGGTGACTGGAATTTTGGACTGAACCCTATATTTCATCCACCGGTGTAGATTGTTCTAGTTCCACGTGGCATACCTCTTCCGGATGTGTAAGTTATCTCCCTTTAACTCAACTCTACAAGATTTGATTGACCTGCTACTGCAGTGGCAAACAAAAACTATGAAAGTATAAAAATAAATTTTTATAGTAAAATTACTGGCAATACATTTTTATGTAAAAGAAATTACCAACAATATCTTTAGTAGAATTACCACCAATAGAATTTTATATCAAAATTACCAACAATACATTTTATCTGTAGTTGAAGGCATACAATTACGTTCAAAATATATTTAGTTGAAGCCATAAAATTGTGTTCACAACATTTAGATTTCGGCATTAAATAATCGATAAATTTTGCTATGCCGCTAAACAAAATCAACCAAACAAGAATGTGAGTGTACTTGTGCATGCATATAAGAAATTAATGTTAATTAATATAATTAAATGTTATCATTCATTTATTTTCCTACCCTTCAACAATTAATCTTTAATAATTCCCTAAATAAACTGATGATATCCCTGATTAAATAGTTAATATAATATTTAAAATATCTGATTTTCAATCTGAGGCAACCTCTTTCCTGGAGTGATTATTTTGGTGTTTGTAAAAGCTACTATTACCACGAGGTGTAAAG